TTTGAAATAAATAATTTTTTTGATTAATGGAAGTAAATTACTTATGTTAACCGTAAGGTAACCACTACTTTAAAAAGTACTTTTTTTAACATAGAAGTCGAAACAAGTAATATACATCTTAACAGTTTTAAAAATTACTGATAGAACTAATTTTTAAAAATCTTAGAAAGGATTTTCATTAAACTTCGAGATTGCAGTTTGGTTAGCATTACAATGTATATCTAAGTATTTGTTTGGTTAGCTTAAAAAGTTGGATTAAGTAAACAATTAATTTAATTTTAATCATATATTTTATAAACTTTTATTAGCACTATTATTGAGAGTTTTGCCAAACAATACTTAAAATTTATCCAGACGAGGTCGTTCATTCCATGCATTATTGTTGGTCCCAAGTTTTTAAAAATAGCTTTGCTACACAAACAGGGTTGGGGAAAAGGTTTTAAAAGGGGACACGTGTCAAACACCGATTTACTATTTTTTTTTTTTTTTTAAAGCAGTCAGACGCAGCACATATCTCCAAAACCTATCTTTCCCCCTGTTCGAGTAGTTTTATTCTTTTAAAAAATGTTGAATGAATAAAAGAAAATGTTTTTATGGAGGTTGATCCCACCTTTGGATCTAACATTCTCCCTAATTCACAAAACTGTTTCAAACAAATTTTTTATTTTTAGCTCAGCTGCATGCATGATATTTCCCGTGTGTAAATTTTGTGAACCAATAGAATCAGTTCTGAACATTTATTGAAATTAATTAATATTTCAGTGACAGTTTGCCAAAGAGCCTAGCCAACTCTTAACTCTACCCATCAAAACAGCCTTAAAAATCAATTCTAAAGCAGAAAAGAAATGAAAACTCTCATTGTTGCTTTCTGCTGCCGTTTTCTCTTCTGCTCTACAACTCTTTCCTTCGACTCACTGACAAGTATGGGTTTTTGGCACGTATTCGAACCATTAAATTTAGATATTAGTGACTTTCATCAGCGACTTATTATCTAATTTAGTTATTTTTATTGTGTGAGTGAAAACCCGACTTTGAATGATGATTAGAAGGAATTTATGCAAGAAACTAGCTAAAGATAAAAGAAAATGACGAAGATGACCAAAGACTCAACCTATTTTAAAAAAAATAAAATTTGGCCAGGGTACTGCGGCGCCCATTTTTTTGGGCAGAACCTGTGGCGCGTAGGCACTACTCGGGTGTTTTTTTTATTTTTTTTAATTCAGGGACCTAGCTGCAATGTTCCTTAGGTTTTAATATAAAAGGCCAAAAATCAGCAAAAAGAAGGAGACTTTTCTTCCATTGGAGCTTCAGCACGTTTTGCTTGCTGAATTTCTTTTGCTTTTCTTTTCTTTTTGTTTTTCTTTCTTCCTTCCCACCTAGTTTTTCTTGCACAATTTGGGAAAAGATTGGAACATGGAAATGGTATAATAGGTTGGAAAAGGAGACCAATTGATATTGATGAATTCTCAACTATTTCCCTCTTTATCAATAAGTTTTTCTTCTCATATTCTCCATCAATGTTTTGTAAGAATTTGTTGGTTATGTGTGAATATTTCATGGGTAACTAAATATATTTGTAATTAGGGATTATTTCAAACCCGATTTATGATTTTCAAATAATTTGTACTTTGTAGTTCTCTTAATTGATGTGTTTAATCTATTGTGTTAAATATTGATTTTGTTCTTCTTAATTGTTTAGATGTATAACTAAACGATTGAATTGTTTCTATGAATGCTATTTTGAGATTAGTAGTACGTAATAACTATTGATTCTAAAATCTTGTAGCAATTACATTTCAAGAAATTGTGAAGAATTTTCAATTGAATGTATGTGGATTAACACTTAAGTTAGTTATCCGAGCTTGGGAATTTGCACTTAATTCAATTATCTCTTTTGTCGTAATGCGTTTGTTAAATTAAATCTAAAGAGCTTGTTTTAGGTTGTTTAATGAATATGGTCAAGTAAAGAGCTCGTTTTATTCGACTAACATGTAAGAAGAGATTGAAATAATTGAACTTGTAATTATTCTCGAATTGTTATTAATCTTGAGAACGAAAAATTTATTGTGGTAATTGACATGAAAATCATTTTCGTGGTGACGAAATATCTCCTAACCACATTTTCTCATATTCCATCGACAATCACTTTGTTTATTTCAAATTTCAAGTCTTTTCTATTTCGAATTTTTCGCTTTCCTTAGTTAAACGAACCAAACCCACCATTTAATATATTTCGCATTTAATTGTTAATATTATATTTTTGTGCACAATTGACATAATTGAATCAATTTTCTATGGGAAATGACCCTTGCCATGTTACTACTCAAGACGACACAGTTAAGTTAGGGAAAATTGCACCCGAGGTACCAAACCTTTCGTTTATTAGCAGACTTTGTCCAAACCTTTCATTTGTGCCACTGGAGGTACCAAACCTTTCAAAAATTCGCACCTGAAGTCCAAATGGATGGAAACCGTCAATTTGACCGTTAGTTGACCAATAAAATTAAACATTGACCAATTGGAAAGGGTAAAAAGGTAAAAGTTACTTAACCCTGTAATAAAGCAATTAAAATAAATAACTAAAACATAAAAAAAAAATACTATTCCACCCCACCCCCACCCCATTCAAATCCAAAAACAGAAATTAAACAGCCACCTTTTTCTTCAACCTCCCCACCCCATCGCACCCCACCTAACCCCACTCCTGGTCAAAAAGAGATGAATTTTCAAAGAAAAAAACAAACAAAATTTCGTAGAGAAAGAAAGGAATTTAGAGAGAGAAAAAGAAATAATGCGTGGGATTAGAGAGAAACTGTATTGTTTTTCATTTTGTTATTGGGAGTATTAATTGTTTTGTTGGGGTATTCTACAAATCTCACCGCACATATGGATTATGTAGAGAGAAAAAGGAGAAATCTTTCATAGTATTTCCTATATACAGACACTTTTTTCAATATTCCCATTTGCAAACCCTAGATTTTAGAGAGTTTAATCGAGTAATTTTATTTGTATTTTTGTGGGTTTTATTTCAATTTAGGTTATTTGGAATTTGGGGATCTGTATAAACCCTGACTTGTTTTGATTCGGTTAGGAAGTAAGCGTTTTGATTTTGTGGAGTCAAATGGAGACTGGTGGAGCTAGTGGTAGTGGAAGTGCTGGAGGTGGTGGTGCCGACGATTGTGGTGGAGGAGGAAGTGTTGGAAGTGTAGAGCCGGAGAAAAAGACTACAGCAGAGGCGTGGGGGTAGGGTGGCGTGCGAGTGGGGGTGGGGGTGGGTGAAGAAGGAGATGAATAGTATTTTTTTTTTTTTTTATGTTTTAGTTATTTATTTTAATTGTTTTATTATAGGATTAAGTAACTTTTACCTTTTTACCCTTTTCAATTGATCAAAAATTGGTCAATGTTTAATTTTATTGGTCAACTAACGGTCAAATGAACGGTTTCCATCCATTTGGACTTCAGGTGCGAATTTTTGAAAGGTTTGGTACCTCCAGTGGCACAAACGAAAGGTTTGGGCAAAGTCTGCTAATAAACGAAAGGTTTGATACCTCGGCTGCAATTTTCCCTTTAAGTTAAGTAAGAAAAAGTAATTGGAACGTGATTTGTAACGTATCACCCACAATGGCCACATCCTCTAACTACATGTATTTTCTATATATGTTAGATATGTTAGAATATTGTTTTGATGAAATAGGAAATGCGGTGCAGTGTACTGTACACAGTGGTGCAAGGCTCGTTGCGCCCTGGCTGGCTTGAAGGATCGATGCCTCAAGTACTGTGGGATATGCTGCGCCAAGTACCCGTGAAAATTAAATGAACCCAGCTGAGGAAATAAATTATGAAATGAAATTCAAGAGAGTTAGTCAATGGTAGAACTGTGATTCCTATTCATGTTTGTTACATTTGCTTTCCTTTTTCGATTGGTTTGATTTAAAGAATTTATGACAAGGATGCACTAGGACTCTTTTGACATGATTTTTGAGAAATTAAAATGAGCTTTTGAAAAAAAAAAAAAAAAATTGCTTCTGGAACTATTTAGTTAATTTTACGGAAGTTGGTCCAATTGTGATTCTCTCTCAAAACACTTTTGAAATAGAAAACTCTTTTAAAAATTGGTTATCAAATAAAAATTAAGATAACTTTCTCAAAAAAAGCAAAAGTCATATCAAATCTGCCCATGATAATTTATTACAAACAACTCTTGAAATTATGGTTAAACATTATATATAATAAGTGTTGAAAAAGAAAACAAACTCATTTTAACTAACAAAATAAATTTAGCCCCCGTTTGAGCCATTGTAAAAATGAAAATGAAAAATATAGTTGTTATGAGCTCCGCACAAAAGATAAAAAGTTAAACATAGTGACTTAATGTAATGAATAACGATCATATTTTTCATTTTAATAAAGAAATAATATGGCTCAAACGGGGGTTATAAGAAAAGATGGGGGCGGGGGGCGTGATGCGGGGGCAGTGTAACAATTTTAAATTATTGATGTAATGATTTAGGTCTATAACTGAAAAAGAAATTATGAACACTATAATAATAATAACATTTATTTTATTAATTTTTAAATTATTGGGTCTACAACTTTTCAACCACATATTTCATTAATTTTTATCAAAATCGGCTGAAAATTTGATTTTAATCCCCATCAAAATCAAACAGGGGCTAAATATAGGAATTTTCAAAGTTCATTTTAAAATAAATTACGTACACATCAAAAAATAAATATATTGTAATGAAAAATAACTTATTTTTGAAATACTTATTCATTCACCTGAGTTTTAAAATTTGACCGTCAAATGTTTGAGGGTGTGTAAGCCACCATTCAGCTTCCATTAAATTTTATTTATTACATTTCATTTCTCTCTTTTATTTCTAACCGCACAATCTTCCATAATTTAATATTACATATTAATCGAAATTTTTTCTTTCTTTTTTAATCACTCATAAAAAAAAATATATATAAATGTATTATTCCGCTCATTTTTTTTTTACATAAAACGGGTGCCAAACGGCGGCTAATTAACCCAAAAGAAAATCTCTGCCTTCAAAATTTCAAAATTTCTCAAAATCGCCGCATAGAAAATCGATAGATTTCCTGCAATTTAACATGGATAATTCGAAAGTTCAAGAGGTATGCATAAAAAGTTGTTGATATATCCATAAATTCTGTTGATTTACGTATATAAAATTTGGTTCGTTTGTAATTATTGTAAAAATGCAGATATTGGAGAAGCAATTATTGACTGTGGCGAAGGCTGTGGAAGACAAGATAGATGACGAGATCTCGGCTATAGATCGGCTAGATCCTGACGATATGGAGGCGTTAAGGGAGCGACGATTGCAACAGATGAAAAAAATGGCGGAGAAACGGAGAAGCTGGACAGCCCTTGGCCACGGCGAGTACTCAGAGATTCCAAACGAAAAAGAATTTTTCTCTGTTGTCAAATCCAGTGAACGCGTAGTGTGCCATTTTTACCGTGAAAATTGGCCTTGCAAGGTATTTACATGGGCGTAATACATGTATTTATCTACGTCTGAGTATGTGTGCTTTGTGTAGATTCGCATTTGTGTTAATCAGTAAAAATGTCTAGTTTTAAGCTTATGAAATATTGGTTAGTTATATTAGCTGTCTGTTCTCTCTTCTGATTAATTTGGTGGCTGTAGATTTTAGTGCAGTGGATTCTTAATCAGGTGGAGTTTGCATAGAGACTGTGTTTATGCAAGGTACATAAGATTGGGCCGTATTGCTATTAAAGATTTTTATAATTAGGAATATTTTCTGTAGGGATAGAACAACACCATAGCAAGGTGATCCCATGATACTGTTCAATGAAGTTTCTGTTGTTTCTTATGCATTCTGGTTTTAAAAGAAGAAGAAGAAAGAAAGAAAGAAGTAGTCATGGTGAGATTCTTAGATGTTTGATTCCTTGTGAAGATCATAATAGCATTTGTCTTGCGGCTTTTGTGCATATATGGGCCATTATCAAATGTGAGGGGGTAAAATGTGCTTCTTCTCATTGATTTGGAAGACAGTGTAGAAGTAGAGTTGAAGGCTGTAGATTAGTTTCTTAGATTGTTTGATGGTTTGAGAGAGGTTAATAGGAGCTGAAGAATTGAATTAAAATTACAGAAGAACTAAAGACTTTTACTTCATGATACATGTTGCAGCACCCTTGAGAATTTCACTTGATATACATTCCGCTTAATTGTTCGAGTTGGCCTTTTATTTTCCTTCGATTTTTCCGCCGATATTTATTGATGCACACATCCTGTTTAGTTGTTTGGTAGCTAGGTCTACAAGCAACTGTTTAAATCTCCTTTCTTATCGAGGTTTCCGAATTGAGAAAGACCTGATCTAAAACCAATTTATGCCTATTATCAATTAATGTTGGGAGTGATCAATGTTGTGCTGACATGAACAGTTTTTATTTTGTTCCTTCAAACCAAGCAATGTATAGAAATTGAATGCTTCCTTTACCTGTAAATTTCTGGGAACCGAAATTCACCCCCAATTTCTTGGTAAAAGTAATTTTGAGAAAGAAATAAATCAGAATAGCTCGATTGCAGGTCATGGACAAGCATCTGAGTATATTGGCTAAGCAACATATTGAGACGCGCTTTGTGAAAATCAATGCTGAGAAAAGTCTTTACTTGGCTGAGAAGCTCAAAATTGTCGTTCTTCCTACTCTTGCCCTCATAAAAAATGCTAAAGTGGACGATTATGTGGTAAGTTGTGTGCAAATGGTTAACCAAGTTATCTTTTGAATAAAGATTTTATCTTGTGAGGCTTTATCATTGCTGAGACTCTGCTAATACAAATTAGGTTGGATTTGACGAGCTTGGAGGAAAAGATGATTTCAGCACTGAGGAACTCGAGGAGAGGTTAGCAAAATCCCAGGTTATTGTTTACGAGGGTGAATCGTCCCTCCATGCGTCCAAATCTAAAGGCAAAACCAAGAGTGTCCGTCAAAGCTCATACTCATCAGACTCTGAATAGATGTAAAGTAACGTTAATTTTGAGTCATGTTGTGAAAGTATTTGGCAATATTTTCTATGAGACCTATTTCTATTTTATAGGTAACTTACATCGAAAATACAAACTTTCTATTTAGGCTAACAAAACGCCCAGGAGAGTCCATGCATTCTTGCTCATACAGTTAACTAACAGGTCCAACACAGCTATACAGCAATAAAAATGCAAGCCACACACAATTTCTGGAATTTATTCACTTGAAAACATGCAAGTTTCTTGTTTCTACAGGTATGAACTAGCAAGTTTTAGTTCAGCATATTATTCTCTGGGGAAAAAAAATCATATTGTTAAATATTTCAAAACATAGTTATTGTGTTCTATAACAGACAAATACGTATATACACATATATAACTGAGTATAATTACAGCAGCTGCAACGAACTTGTTCACTCTTCAGAAGTACCATTCTCTTCAACGCAAGGTAAGGACAGAAGTTCCATAAGCTCCAACCGATATTCTAGGCCTCTAAGGTAGTGCCCCAGCAACATGCACCTTCATCAAATAAAATGAAAAATGTTAATCCCAGAACATAGAAGCTACGATAATTTTATTCACATACGAGCGCTTTAATTCCAGATCTCCTTGGCCCCAGGTTGGTTATGAAGAAAAAATCTGCAGATGTTAATTCCAGATAACGTCTAAAGAAGAAAAAAGCAGTGATTCTCCAATGCGGACTTAATTTCCAGGAAGGGATATGCAAATGATTTTGAAGCTCCAAATTTCAGTACACTGCAAAATCTCAGTTTCTCTAGTGTATTATTTCCCAAAAAACAATGAAGTTGACTATATTGTCTACTGACAGAAATCAATTTCATTATCCTGGCCGAAGTTGACCTCAATGATGCGGTTTATAAGCCCCCATTCCTCGTGAAAACAAGGAATGTTAAAATCTAGCCAACAATTCTAACATATAGAAACAGGTAAAATATGGCTAGGGATTCTAATGTCTCCTAATCCACACGAATATGGCATCTTAGACTGAAGGTGTTCAAAATTTGGAGCCAAAGAATCCACCACTGTTAGATTTCATGATCCGTGCTGTAAGCCAATAGAAGAGGGATATAACCTAACATGTCTACAAATTAAGAAAAAAATTAACCAAGCAATTGCCACAAAAAATAAAATAAAAAAATAAAGAAAGAAAAACAGAACATCCCGTTTTATGATTTGAGCAAGTCAGTACAGAATAGATGAATATTTTATATGTAGACAAAGCATACTCTTGACAAAGTAAAAAGAGAGGACATATGATCTAACCAAAACAGTAGGCGCGCCAGATAATCACGTGTCAAAGAAATAAGGGGCTGGAATTGAAGGGAAGTATTTTCAACAACGTCAATGCAATCTTTTGTTTCAATGATTATGGTTCCTATAGCTGGGTTGTCAGAGAGATCAGAAGCTTTTGAATGCATTTTAGGAGAAAGGGTAGCCAAGAGACCATGTACTACTGAATGTACGGTGTCCTTCAACTCAGGTGATGACGGTTCTGAAAGCTCCGCTACCTGTTCAATAGAAGCAGCAATATCCATCACAAGAATGAAGAAAACAAAGGATGGACAGTAAAGCAGAGTTGATAGAAGTACTACCATTTAAAGATAGCTGTCCTGCCGAACGTAAAAAAAAGTGATGAAATTTACGAATGCCTTATGAGTCACATCCCAAAAGGCATGCAGATTCATGCTCTTGAACATAAAGCAGAAATTTTCCATAAAGTGTGCATCAAAGAAATGGAAGGAAAACTATAACTTGAAATTTACAGATTTGCACAATAGATATCCCCAGTTTACTGTGTGATATTTTTTCACCATCCTTTAGTAAGATACTACACTCAATGCAAAGTAAGACATCTTATATAAATAGGATAGAAGTTAGCTATTATTATAGTAGGATAGTTGTTTCCTTTTAAATTAGGATTTTGTTTCCTCTTAGGTTTTCAGTTTTCTTTCTTTTTAGTAACATTGTTTAGTTTCCTTACATCGGTAAGACTTCTCATCATAGATTCATTACAATAAAATTATTCTCTTCAAATTTTCGGGTTTTTCAACTTTCTTATTGTTTCAAGAATTTAAATTCTGCTTTCACACCAAAATGCAATTAATCCTAGTTATACTAGGAATTGATCACAACTTGATGAGAAATCCTTTGCACGGAAGTCAGAAATAACAGTTTGCTCTACACCAAAGATAAACTAGACAAAATCCTAAACATGCAGCATTATTGTGATATTCAAATTCCCATTCCAAAATGGACCCTCAAGAAGGAAAAAGGAGAATTTAATCAGCAACAATTACAGACAATGTAATCTCTATACAATTGGAGAGGTTTTGCAGAAACAGAAAATGAAATCTACCACAGAAAACACATTTTCTTAAAATGTTGTTTGCCTTGCAAACTGAAATTATTAAAACTACAATCGCTTTCATTTGATCTTCAGTGCACTAGTCCATAATATCATCCATAAAGATCACTCTCCTTACATGATCACTAGCACTTCTACACACTAGTCAAAGCTGAACGTGCATTGTACGTTATTTTAAAATATTTTATAAGTAATGTAAAAGTAATATTTGGTACCAATTTGTTGGAAGATTTGATGAGTCTCGGATAAATTAAAAAAAATAAAATTTAGCATAGAAATTTAAGAGAAACTGTACTCAAATTGTACTCTCAAAACTTAATTTCTATGATTCAAATTTTTTGTAATGATGAAATATTATAAATGAGTAATATTTTTATATTACATTTGATACATAAAAATTAATTGTTAATACATAAATTTAAATATCTATGAAAATTTCTAGATATGAATAAATTAATCTATAATAACTCTATATTTATGTAATTCAAAATTTATCAAGTGAAAATTCATTGAATCTAGATTAATGTGAATGTTAATTTATTGAGAATTAATAACACAAATTTCATAAATGGCAATAATTATGTAGTACTTATTAAATATTGAAAACGAAAAATAAGGTATTATTGAAATAATTGAATTGTAGGAGGGTTAAAATCGTCCAAAAAAATGATTCTCCCTTGATGTGATATTTTAATTTATTATAGATATACATACCTTTTCTGGTTGCAAAGATCTTAAATAATCTAACAAGTCATTCTTTTCTTCCCCCACAAACTGTTGCATCTGAAGAGCCGCACTTTTTCGCTTAACTTCATGGAGCTCCTTAATTAGGCAGAATTAATAAACAACATTAGAATGTCATATGACATTTGTCTAAATAGGAGAAATAAATAAATAAAAATCAACAAGTGAAAAAAAAAAAAGAAAAAAAAAAAACCTATATAAGCAGCACCGAGTATACACATGCAAAACAATAAAAAGGAAAGGGGCACTCAAAAGAGAAATCAACTAAACCAAAAGAACTACACAATTCACAAATCTTTCCTGTGTCAACTCAGATGATAATCTACCACCTAAATTATGGAAATTGTATTAACCATGATACTCCACACAACAATCAACTTCTGATGCAAGAACCAAGGGTGCAAAAGGTGATAAACATCCAGTTTATGGAGAATTGCTCCACAAAATGGCAGCTTCCATATTTCAGCCTCTGACAAATTGAATACTGGTAGTTGATTTTAGTTCTCTTATTTTCAATGTAGATCAAAAGAGTAGTCTAGTTGCCCTAGGTTCAAATTCATACCATCTCTTGGAAAAATAGTCATATGGTAGTGACTCTTGAACACGTGATATTTGTTTACTCCCATACCACATCTGAATATTAAATGACCGCTTTTAGATACAGTGGTAAATTGACAAAAATGTTGACAATGCAATGCAAACCTAAAAGTAATGTTGGAAAAAAAATTTGATATATAGACGGATAAGAAACCCAAGATACCAATGAAGTACATAAATGCAAAATACACCTTTCTGACAGAAGATAAACGAGATTGCAATCTCAATATATATTCTCGAGCTTCAAGAGAAATTTCCCCAAGATCAGGAATCTGGGATGTAACTTCACCGTTTGTCTCTGATAGTGGCAAGTTGTCTTGTCTAAAAAATTTGCTCACTTCATCGTCATTGAGCAACAAACCTTCAGCTTCAAGTTTAGTATCTTCGGCCTTTTGCTTATCAATATGTCCTTTATGGATTTCAAGATTTTTCTCAACGCAAAGCCTAAATTCAGCATTCCGCAATGTATACCTGGAATAGAATAGCCTAAATTCAGCATTCCGAAACATAGTTCATTAATGATTACAGAGTCAAGCACGAACCGCTCATGATGTTTTCTAATTCATACTGCTCTTGGAAGAGATGTTCAGACAAGATTTTTCTAATGATTCCATATACCCCTACGTGTGATGAAAATAATGCATACAGAAATATTGGACTAGAGAGAGAGCTCAGAAACAAAGAAGGGCCAAGTTTAATTCATAACTTTATCAGATGAACTGCACAATTAATAATCTTAAAATTAAGGTTACGTATGCAAACATATATTCTGAATGAAGAAGTTGTACACAAGAGAGACTGTTACTTGAAGTAACTCAGCCCCATTTGGATAATTTATAATTGGTCAAACTTCATTTTCAACCACATATTTAAATGGATCCACCAATTTTTAACCGCACATACCATTTAAATCATTTATAATTTATCCAAACGGAGTCTCGGTAGTAAATGCAGCAGCTTGAGAGTTATAATAACTATTAAGCTAACAATTCAGGATAACAAATATAAAGTTTCTCAAACATAAGACTCTTGCACATGTATGAGATACTTAAAACCATTTATAATTTATCTTCTTGTCGAGGAGTATTTTCAAATGTTAGAGAACCTAGAAACCATAGACAACAAGGTTCTCCTAAATAATTATTCAATTTGTCCTATTAAACCCAAGGAATATAAGCTTGCCTACCATCTACACCGGAATAAATAGAGTTTCCGAAAAACCTGCTGGTGGAGGAAGACCTCTTAGTGGGTCCAAGAATCCAAGAAATAGTGGGAATTCTTGATCTCTCTCAATTTGAAAATCCAGGACTTCCCCTACGAAAATAGGTGGCTTCGCCGGCTTGGATAGCTAACAACTCAGGACAACAAATATAAGGTTTCTCGAAAATAGGACTCTTGCACATGTATGAGATACTGCTAAAACCATTTATAAATTATCTTCTTGTCTAAGAGTATTTTCAAATGTTAGAGAACCTAAAAACCACAGAAAACAAGGTTCTCTTAAATAATTATTCAATTTGTTTGATAGTCACATCAAATTTAACGTTTCAAAAAGAACCATTGCAAGGTTAATAAACTTATATATCTTTCACCACAATGAACAAAAATAAAAGCACATTAGTATACGCTAACCTCATACTACAGCAAAAGATATATATACTATAACGTAGCTCAGAGCTTATTCAGACTCAAGCATGCATCAAGTACGGGGACCAGAAGCAAGCTCCATCCTCGGCTGATATGACCATACAAATTTACATCATAATTCGAGAAAATAATGAAGGCCTGTGGCATTATTATGAATCCAAAATATCCCACTCAAGGATTCCAAAAGACTATGCTAAACCTCAGAACAATCTATCGAATCACTTCTAAGCTCAACGTATGAATTTTAAAGTCTTACCACATCCAATTAACTCGTTCTTAAACAAGAGCCTACATGTTTGTCTTACAATCTCCATCGCAAGTACTTTCGAGCGTCTTATGCACATAAACACACGTCACGTCAGTGGATAAATTAGTGTTACCTCAATAAGTTAAATATAAAGTAGCTTCCTGAACAAAAAATCTGAGAGAATGAGGCTCCAACTCACGAGATTATTCGATCTGTACTCTAAATTATGCATTTCTATTGTTGAAACGCATGTGGAAACAAACCTATTGCTTTTTAGTGTATTCACACAACATAAATAAAACGACAACAGCAGAGGATAAAGCTAATTATTATATTAGACTAAATTGTTAGAACTCACTTCCCTCGTACTTTATTTTCTTCACTATGCTTCTCTTTTCATTGTTTTATTTTTTTTCATGCCAAACGAAATTGTGTAGAATGTGTCCCAAAAAGTGAACCTACCCGGTCATCATTGAAGAAATCAACAGCTTGGAAAGTGGTTCCCATAATGCTTCAATCATCACCTGAAATTGGTCAGACGGAAGCAAGCCCAACATTCCCGAAATGGTCCTTTTCATGGCATCTATTGTCGTAGGTGGAACATCTTTCTGAATAAGGCTCACATCCAAAGGCTCTATTTCTTGTATCAAATTTGAGAGAACTGATTTCTGGAAAATATAACATTTTGTCAAGGTATTAATATTGTATGTATCAGTTCCTCATTCAGGGCAGACCTGTGCTTGCATTCACCCCAGGAAAGCCCATTAGCTAGCAACGCGAATTTGAAATTTCATTTCGGACATTTTATTAAACCAAGATGAGTTGATTTTCCGTTGACAAGCAAATAATTTTCTTTGTGTTCCTTCTCTGATCTAGTTCCCTAGCAATGTTAACTATTTTAAGAATTACCCAGTCCAGCAAGATTTTAAAAAAATATATTAATTAAATTAAATCAAAACTACCAAATTTAATAAGCAGAAAATTAAATTCAAACATAAAACCCTGACCTTCGACCGAGAATTCCCATCTCGAGAATTAAATTCCCCGCCGGAAGAAGAAGCTGAGGAAGCTAAAACTAGGGTTCTTAAACTTCGAGATTTGATAAAATATGCAGTGGGATAAATAACAGAAAAAGGGCGAGCGGGTGAAATCCGGCAACAAGGTCGTATAGTAGGAAGATGAAGAGGAGATCGTGAGAGACCGGCGGCGAAGGTTGCCATTAACAACCACCACCTTCTCCTCTCTCCCGACGGGCCCTAACAGTAACTGCTACAGCCACAATATGTGAGTATCTGATTAATCTTCGTGTACGTAAAGTAACAGACGGTAGGATTGAGTCAGACGGCATGCCATGTGACCCGGTTTGGGCTACGGGTCGCACCCCTTGATCTGTGGCGGGTCTGGGTCATGGGTCGGCGCTGTCAGTTGCACATGTGAACCGTTTTGGGCTTTGGGGCGTGCTATTCAATAACTGCATAAATTATTGCTTGCGGGCTTTGTCGGTTTTTCAATGGAACTCTCACAAAAATTACTTGTCCAATTTTTAGGTCGTATTTTTTAAAGATTAATTTCGATTTTTCACTGGGCTATTTACCAAGGGAACTCTCACAAAAATCACTTGTCAATTTTTTAGGTGGTATTTAAAGCTTAATTTCGATTGGATTGGATTAGAATATAATAGTAGACGAAATATAGGGTCATATGTTGGAAACCATATTCACTTCAATAGTATCAATCGAGCGATTCATTGATGATGAGAATACAATGAAATTTGAATAGTAAAGTCTTGTGCATTGAACGAAGTGTCTAAAAGAAGATGCATGGAGGCTTGAGTTAATGCCTACATACTACAGTAACTGAGTACAAGTACATGAAGTTCATGAAAACTATAATCAATTTTTTTTTTTTAATCTTGTTGTAATAATTTAGGACTAATAAACTTAAATTTGATATATATCCTGAACAAGAATCAATTCATAAGCAAAATAAATTTTCAATTAGTACATTTTAAAAGATGATTTCTCTCATCCTTTTTAAAGGCTCACTTGACTTTTACTTTTACTTTTCCTTTTCCTTCTACTTCTAGAAGAATTTCTTGAAAAAGTTATATTAAATCAACTTCTTCTAAACACTTTTTAGTTAGATATAATCTTTCAGAAAATTATCCGAACATGTTCAGCTGCAATTCTTAATTTTAAAAATAAATTTTGCTACATCCTCATATAAATGGATGCATGGTCCAGTTTTCGACGGGATTGACTTTGTCAATTCGATCTCTTTTTAAAACTGGCTTTTTTGGGTTCATGAACGTGCACAAAATCTAAGAGAACAACAACCCACAGATAATAAAGAAAGATCAAAAGAAGTTTTGCAAAAACAAAGGTGGCCGGCACAATTAAAGTTGTCCGCGGCGGAAAGCAGGAGACAGTTCAATTCATTCAAAAAAAAAATAAAAATTATTATCTTTAATAATTATGGTTTTGCTTTGCACTCTCTGTGTGTAAAAAATATTAAATATTTCTATCGTTTTTATATTTGAAGGATTTTCAAATACAACTCAAATCAAGTGAGAATCGAGCTATCTGTTTTAAAGTTGTTCAAATCAAAATATTACAGTGAATGGTTGGTGTGAGCAAAATATTACATTCCATTCCCCTTAATTTATCCACTCTTCACTTGTGATGTATATTATTTGTTAACCTCGGAAATTGGGCCCTCCACGTGGTCAATCGATAATCACTCCACGTATTTCTCCTTGCGTGCAATCAATGCACAGTCAGATGCATACGAATAAAATTATTATCTTTAATAATTATGGTTTTGCTTTGCACTCTCTGTGTGTAAAAAATATTAAATATTTCTATCGTTTTTATATTTGAAGGATTTTCAAATACAACTCAAATCAAGTGAGAATCGAGCTATCGGTTTTAAAGTTGTTCAAATCAAAATATTACAGTGAATGGTTGGTGTGAGCAAAATATTACATTCCATTCCCCTTAATTTATCCACTCTTCACTTGTGATGTATATTATTTGTTAACCTCGAAAATTGGGCCCTCCACGTGGTCAATCGATAATCACTCCACGTATTTCTCCTTGCGTGCAATCAATGCACAGTCAGATGCATACGGCCGGAACCAGCGGGAGTGGCGGCGGCTGTATACACTCCGACGATCAAGTTAGGTTCAGGTGATCGGAACAGTGTCAAGGTTGTGCAAAATAGTGGGGAGGAAAATGTATATATATTTGCTTGCTATAGAGTGCTAAGTAGTAAGAGTTTCATTACTTTTGTCTCTTATCAAGTTTTGGGTATTTATAAGTGAGGAGAACCATTGGATGTGGGACACGTGTATACATCTGACGGTATGAGATATCTACTCATACGCGTCAATCAACCGCGTCTATAGAGTGGGTGGATAATTACTTCTCCCGAGTTGAGTTGACATAAAGTTGATACATCACATCAACTAGCCTCGTAGAGACGTCAAATCACTTTAAACTTTAGGAACAGAAAAAATCTTGACAAAGATCTCATTCTGAAATTGTCGACGGAGGTCCCCGGAGTGCATTTCGCCTCGGATTCAGGGGCGAGGGCGCTTCGGTCAGTACCGCAGAATTGCATATGCCTCGTAGTGTGATAGCAGATCGTCACCGTTGGTGAAGTCGCTTCGGAACCACTTCGGATGAGTGTTCCACACCTCGCATGATGTGGTGGTGGACTTTTCGAAGTGGTTCAGATGGAGACGTAACAGTGGTCTCCCAAGTCCAGGTATGAATGTTTATATCATAGGTGGACTTGTCTTTTCGATCGGGTATGTATGCCTCGGGATGGGGACCGTGAGTTGTGAGAAATTGAGGGTCAATTTCTTGTGTTCGTCGAAGCGTTGATCCTAGGCAGATGCACTAAAACTTCGCTACTGCGTGAGGGAAAAATTTATGTGAGATTGAGGTGTTGCCCAACTGGACGATGTGTAGGGAGATGGTCCACATAGCGACCGAGACGATGACTCACAGGGGACTCTGTGTCAGGTGCGTCTAAACTTTGTAAAGCTGACTGAAGCTGCCATCGGTGAGCTGACCCACATGGGACGACACGTTAGGAGATGGCTAAAACTTTGTAAAGTTTAGGAGGGAACGTAACGATCGAGGCGATAACCCACAGGGGACTCCGCATCAGGTGCGTCTAAGCTTGTAAAGTTGAGTGAGGAATGTAGCTACCGAGGCGATGACCCACAGGGGACTCCGTGTCAGGTGCATCTAAACTTTGTAAAGTTGAGTGAGGAGCTCATCTACCTCCGGTGCGCTGACCCACAGGGGACGACGCGTTGGGAGATGGCTAAAACTTTGTAAAGCTTAGGAGGGAACGCAGCGACAGAAGCGACGATCCACAAGGGACTCCGCGTCAGGTGCCTCTAAGTTTTGTAAAGTTGAGTGAGGAGCTCAATCCGAGGCGGTCGTATTTGACGTTAACTGATTTGACAGTTGTTGCGTATTTCGAAGGTGACAGTTGGGTGCAGCGCCCATTCCCCTAAAAGGCTGCTGCGGCTACTTATTGTTGACGGCTGGTGGTGATCGAGGCGACGCGTTTTATGCGAGCATGAAGGTCACAGCAAAATTTTAGGCATAGATCAAATCTGGCGTTTCATTTCAACGGCCTAGATTGATGATACGACAGACGGCCTAGATTGATTGCATTTGAATTCGACGGTGGAGATTAGTTGGAGCGCTCTATAAAAGGCGGACTTGAGCGCTTTTGGAGCTTTTCACTCTTGCGAAAACAGAAAATCCCATTTGCTCTTAAACTTTTTGAGATTTTCGGCGTTCTTCAAGCATTTTTGGCGAGAAATTTGGATTTCCTACGACCACACACCGCTTTTTGACTATTTCTGGCTGGGGAACACTCAAACTCGTAAGTTTCAGTAAATATTTGAGACATTTCTTTTCTGAAAAAATGGCTTCTGAGGGTAGTGCTAGTTCGAGAAGGGGGCTGGAGTTAGTGCGAATGGACGAGCCCATTGTGGCGACCTCCTCCAAAGTAGCCGAAGTGATACTTGGGGGGAGAACATTTGGAAGGGGCCGGATAGCCCAGCAGATACCTCTGTACATTGGGGGCGTCAGATTATCCCTCCAAGCTAAAGGGGGCCGACTTAGAAAGACTTAGGTCTGAATATAGGATCTCAGATAGTATAGACCCGATCCTTCCCGAACCCGATGAGAGGGCCTGCTACCCTAGGCCAGGGTGCGTGGCGATAAGCGAGGCGATCCTTAGGGCTGATCTTAGGCTTCCAATTCACCTTTTTTTAGGGATGGTGCTCAGGTCTTATGGCTTAGCACTGACCCAACTGAACCCGAACTCTTGGAGCCAAATGGTGGGCTCCTGGATGTTATGGAAAGATACGTCACTTGGGGTGGAGATACCCTTCTCTATTTTTCAGACCCTCTACATTCCCAAAGTAACAGCCAGGGGGGATAAGACCAGGGGCTAGTATTACCTGACCTCTTGGGGTTCCCACACTCTTTTCGTGGTTGATATGCCGAGCTCCATCAAGGAGTGGAAGAGCTCGTGGTGCTGGACTTCTGGGAGATGGGACACAATGGAGGGGGACCCCCTGGCACCTTTCACGGTTCCCACGAAGTACTCGTCACTTAGTGAGTATTGTAGCTGTGATTCTTGTTTATTTCTCTTCGGTTCAAATCATAACTAACATTTGTGTTCATTTTTTGAAGGCACTCTTCCTCGGTGCTAGCTATCCTCTGACGACTTCAGCATCATCTGCGTCATATACCAGCTGCTTTCGAAGAAAAGGTCGTACCACTGGCTGATCAGAAAGAACATTCATTTTGTGACGCATGACCTGATGGCCTCACAAGGTAATATCTCGAAGCGAATACCTTTTAGTATTTTCGAGTCGTTTAAACTTGTACTAATTTACTTGTTTTTTGTAGATTATTTTAATAAGAAGATGCCTCTCCGAACCGACTTCAAGACCATTCAAAAGATGATGGTCGAAGCGAGGGCCTTGAAGACCTCTTCCTCCGCCTATAAGAAGTAGATGGAGGACTTGGTGGACGCCAGCAAGCTAGCCTTTGACAGAGGAGGAGGTGCTTGAAGATCTTAAGGCCAATCTGCTTCGAAAGGATAAAAAGCCTGCTGTCCCTTCGAAGCGACCAACGGTGGCGAGACCACCCCCCGTTCTGAGGCAACTACAATTCCTACCGGGGTGGCCATTTCGGAGAAAATTCCTGCGCCATCAGAGGCTTCTCCTGCCCCGGCCACACTGCCAGTTGCTGCTGTGCCTCTCGCGCAGGTGCCGGGGCAGCCCAAGAGGAAAAGAGCTCGTCCTTCAAAGGAGGTGGACTTCTTGGGCACGAACTCCGAGGAGCCAGTAAAAGAAGTACTGGAGGCCCTCCCCCCAGAAACGGTTGCAGTGGCGGTGGTCCATAATAAGTACTGGACC